CTACAGATTCCATAACAAAGTTTGCAGCATTGTTATACTATTTTCCATTTTAATTTGGAGTTTACATGGAGACACTTTTGCTCAGTTTGGGTATAAATGTTGAATTATGCTGGCCCTAGCTAAATATAATTCAATTTTAGTGTCAAATTTCCTATTATCTCTTTTCTTTATAATCCTCACATTCCAGTGACAGATGCAGGGCCAGGTGCTCCTCCTCCTCCTTCTTTTTTACCTTGTTGTCCCCATCCCTCCATCTTGTTCAAGATAAGGATTATGTTCTGCCTGTTCTTGGGAAGGAAGGGACAATGTCTAATCAGTCAGTATTAGAGAATGAGTTCTTGTGTCAGCTGGGTGACATTGGACAAGACACTTGCTCTGAGCCTCAGCTGGTTGATTGGTTTGTTTTTATCTTTGACATTGATAAGAGAAGGTGTTGGACTCCAAGCTTCTTTCCATTTCTAAACCCTGTTCTATGTTCTCTAACCTAGTACTCCTCCTGAGATGTGAGCAGGTGCCGTGGCTCTATTCAGGGTTTCTACTGTGAGCCTAGGTAACTGCTCCATGCATAACAAGTCAAGCCAGTGGGGAGGCCTAGAGAGCTCCCACAGGTGTCAGTTTCTCTGAGTGGCTGTGAATTCAAACTTTCTGTTGGAATTACCATATCATCCTGAAGGGATGCAGTGTTAAACAAGAGCTCTTATTTATCCTCTACTTTCATTCTTACTCAACCTTGCTGAGGGTGAAATTCTTCTTCTTCCACTTCATCTTCCTCCTTCTTTCTTCTTTCTCTTCTTCTTCCTCCTCCTCCTCCTTCTGGCTATAATTGCTATTTTAATAATCTTTTATTTTATAATGATGTTTAGTTTATAGAGAAGATAATTGTTTCCCTTATCAACATGTTAGAATGGCATATGTGTCAGTGAAGAAGCAATTTTGATACATTATGATTAACTGAGCCCATGCTTTATTCAGATTTCCTTTGTTTTTATCTAAATTTTTTTTTTTTTTCTGTTTTAGGATCCCATCCAGGATACCACATTATATTTAGTTATCATGTCTCCTTAGATTCCTCTTGTCTGGTACTTTTTTCATTTTCTTCAACAACCTTGAGAATTTTGAGGTGTACGAGTCAAGAATTTAATTGGCATTTGTCTGGTGTTTTTATCAAAATTAGATAGAGGTTGTGGAGTTTTGGAGGAAGATCACAGAGGTAAAATGCCACTTTCATTCTGTCACATCAAGGGTACATACAGTCAGCATGGTTTATGACTACTAAAGTTAACCTTGATTACCTGGTTGAAGTAGTGTTTTTCTGTCAGGTTTCCCCACTGTAAAGTTACCCCCCGCCTTCCCATTCTATACTGTACCCTTTGGAAGGAAGCCATCATGGGGAGCCTAAGGAAGTTTCTTATTCATGTCACAGTCCAAGGTGTTTCTGATAGCTATTGTCTTTTCTCCATACCAGTTATTCAGGGACCCAGCATTCTTCCATTCTTTTGCTCTGACATCCCTAAGGGCTTTGTCATCTTAATCCAGCCAGAGTTAAGGAAAAGAGAATGTGGAGGAGAATGTTTGCTTTTAAAAGTCTTGGCCTGAAAATGGCACACATCACTTCCACTTACATTCCATATGACACTTATTCATCTGCCAAACCTAATTGCAAGGGAGGCTAGGACATATGGTCTAGCTGGGTGCCCAGGAAAAAGAGGAAATGGATTTGAGTGGAATGCTAGCAGTATGTGCCACCCCACTTTACAGAAGAAAAGGTAACAAACCAGCCTCTAGTAATATAGCCATCAATATATGGCTTTATAAAAAATATGCAATAGAAGAAAATAATGTTAGAATCAAGGAAAGTCATTTAAATTGAAAAAAAAAAACTAGCACAATCAAAAACTTATTCCATTGACTGTATTTAATGAATTTCACTGTTGCTCTGTGAACACTGGTTAAGAACAGATACTTTCATGTCAACATTTGAATACTTCTGCCTTATATTCTACCTGTTCTAGACTCTGCATTGTTCTCAGAGTCTGCTCTGTCTTCCTGTCTTGAATGCCTCCCTCCCCCGACCCCAGGAAAAGCCAACTCATTCCTTAATTCCTCAAGTGACAGATGTGGTATCTTAGCTTAAGTCCCTGCTCCTAAGGACTATCAGGACACTCTGCTTCCCTCTCTCATCTAGCATCAGTCCCACGCTAGTACTACTGTGTTAACTATGTTTTGTTCTTTTGACTGAGTGCTCCCTGGGGATTCCATAGGTTTTACAGGTCCCTGGGCAGAGTCAGACAAATAATATGTGTGTTTGTTGAAAGTATCCAGGGTGCAGGATGCTAGATATCCCAAAAAGTCATTTCATGGTTTAAATTCCTTTTTGAAAAAAAAAATAGCAAAACATGTTATTTTCCCATCTATTTTTAAAAGAGTTCTTGTTGTCAGCTTTTGTGGAGGAGGGGATCTTGGGCTTAGTCTGGGAAGAGTGGTAGAGCCTGACAGATGGGAATGAGGTACTTACTGGCCCATCAAGTGGGCAGTGTAACTTTGAGTGACCTGTCTGAGGTTCTAGGTATTTGTTCAAAAGATGGCCAGGTCTCCTGTGAAACTTCAAGAGGTTCACTTTTGTAGATTATCACATAGTTACAACTCAAATTACTGGGCTTGTTCTGGAGTTGATCTCAGTACTGGGGGTTGGTATAAAAGTCTGGTGCTCATTATCCTGAATAGGAGTTACCAACCTGAATTCCCAGAGTCCCAATAGGGGGATAGCTTCACCATGACAAAAGAAGTGTTTAATTACAGGTAAAGAAAGAGGAGCCTGAAGAAAACAAACATTCATTTGCAGGCTTTAATGACTAAGCTGCCATGCCATTCATTACCAACAAAAGCATGATTTCTTCATGAATTAAGAGGTGGTTGCCCCTTTCCTTCTTTCTGCCACTTTCAATCCTCTATTCTCAGTCCACTGTTACTGGAGTGGCTTTACAAGCTCAATAAGCATTTTACTAAAACAGAAACCAGAAGACATGGGGTCTTCTTTGGGGGTCCCTTCATTTTACCTGCATTGTTTCTTTGGTTTTTATAGTTGTAATGTCAGACCTTAATTAGAATTCATATTTTTATATGGTCTCATAGTATCACATTGTAATTCATTTGAAGTTCTCAAAGATTAAAATTAGGGTACAATTTTTTTTTCATTATATAGATGCAAACCCTGAGACCAGGTATTCTGTGACTTTCTCATGACCCCAAAGGCAATTGGAGTTCAGATTTGGGTCTTCTGACTCCAAATTTGGAGCTGAGTATGCTACATCAGAAACTGCTGGTCAGCCAGGGAGCTTCATGCAAAGGCTCCCCTCAAGTTGTTTGCTGTGAGGTTAGCTCCCTGTGTGTTTCTCTGACATGGCCTGTTGTGTGGGATTAGGTGAGCCCGTGGAAGAAAAATCATTACTGAAGGTCTGCAACCACTCAGGGCAGAGGATTCAAACATACTCAAAGTGAATAGAGACCCATAAAGGGACCTAAAGATCATTTAATTTAACTGCTGGATTTCATTCATAAGGAAAATGAAGTCCACAAATTACAAATTGAATTTACTTAATTCAAAAAGATAATGGATAGCTATTGTTTAGAATGCCTAGTTTCCAGTTCAGTTCTTTTTTCATTAACCTTCTTCCTCATTCACAATTTTCTTGTCACTTCTCTTGCTTCATAGAATTGCTTGGAAGAAGACGTGATGATATTGGCATGCTCAATTTTGGGCAATGAAATGGTGGTTCAAAACTCCTCCCATAGACATATTATAGCCACAGAACTAAACATATCCAGTCCTTGACTACAATCCCTTTTAGACCTAAACATGAATAAATGTGTTCTGTTTAATACACACTGCCCAGCATTTTGCCTGAAAGGGGGGAAACAAAAAAGACATTCTTGGTAAATATGATTTGAATAAATGGCAAAGATGAAGTTGACAGGCATGAATTCAATGATTGTCCTTCTGAGGTTATTATATCGCTATGTCAGCATTCACATGATCTCCATCTTGCCTCAGTCAGTTTTTTATCACCATAAGCAGCATTTTTCTTTTTCTCCTCATTTTTATGAAATAATTAGGGCTATAAATGCACTAGAATAATTTTCACCCAACACCAGAAACCAAAAGATGGTGACTCTGTGGAAACTAGATTGTTGCTGGCAGCCAACATCATAATGAGAAAGCTTTAAATATTTATATTTAGCTGATGAACAAATATCCAAATGTGGTATACAAAAGCCAGTTTGATGATAGTTATGTGTAGGGAGTTTTAAAAGTGAAGATATTTGGTTTGAAATTTTTAAAGAAATATGCAGGATTTTATTTATTTAGTTTGGGTACTGGAAAATGACTTTTGCAGAACTGGGGCTCTTCCTTGGTGAAGTGTTTAGTTAAGGTGAAATCTGTGTCCCCTTATGCTTTCCAATGACCTCTCATGGTCATGAGGGGTTTGCTGGTACCAATAATTCTCGTCTAAGATATTATTTTTTTCTGGCTAAATTAGATCAGAATATTAAAACCCAGGAATTTCTGATGGATATTTGACAGACAGCAGAAATAGAAGTCTTACACTGCCTGATCATGGCTGCTGGAAGCTTCTGAGGAATTACAGTAGCATTTTGGCTTAAAAAATGATTCTAGAACAGGACCATAAACTTGGTAGTATCTTGTAACCATACACCAGCTGCAGAAGGGAGGGGAAATAATTCACTTATTAGTGTGTCTCTGTATTTTTCTAATCATAATTAATATTTATTTATTTACATTCAATACTGATGCAAAGTATTTTGGTTCTGCTTCTGGAAGTATAGATATGTTACTGAAATGCCCCCCTTACAAATACTAATTTCAGTTTATATCATCGACATTTATGCATTTACTTACATAATGTGTTTCACAAATTTGCAATTGTGCATTTTATAAACAAAATTAAAATTTGAATAATTATTTCATTTTTGTTTTGCAGAACCCCAGCTGAAAGGAATTGTGACAAGGTTATTCAGCCAGCAGGGATATTTCCTGCAGATGCACCCAGATGGTACTATTGACGGGACCAAGGACGAAAACAGTGACTACAGTAAGGAACATTAGCTTCTCAAAATATGATTACAAATGAAATGCATAACCCAGAGTATCTTATATTTTAAACATGGCCAGGCTCCCTTTTGAACTATTTAACTATTAGTGAGCTAGTGTCTTTCCATTTATCCTTCTAGCCATGGATTCCCTACACCAAAGAGAAAGTGTGGGAGAGAAGTTATGTACTCATTGAGGAGATAGAAGGCTTGAAGGTGTTTCATCTGATCAATAGATGAAAATTTCTTCCAATTGCAGATGTTTTCATCAGGGTAATGATAAGTACTCATAGAAACAATTCAGATATTCTAGCACAAGATGGTGTTTAGGTCCTGGAACCAAATAGTGAATATAAGTTATAATTTTTAGAATATAATTTCTGGAAGGTAAAAATTACTTCTTAAGGCAAACATTGAATGCACACATATGTGTATTATATGTTAAATCATTTTGGTTAAAAGTAAAATTAAATAAATAATATGTATTTATATATTATGATTTTTTCAACAGTATATATAATAGTAATAAGATGATAAAGATTGGTATATCTGACATGGAATTTTAAAAATAATTTTTGAGCCTGGTGTGGTGGTGCATGCCTCTAATCCCAGTGGCTCCAGTGTCTGAGGCAGGAGGATCACAAGTTCAAAGCCAGCTTCAGCAACTTAGCAAGGCCCTAAGCAACTCAGGGAGACCCTATCTCTATACAAAATACAAAGAAGGGCTAGGAATGTGGCTCAGTGGAAAAGCGCCTAGGTTCAATTCCTGATATACCCCCAAAGAAAAAATTGAAATAAAAGTACCAAGTATTAATATATTGATAATAAAATCCCTGGAAATAGTTTTTAAGTAGTTTAACTTTACAGTTGAGAAATCAAAGTATGACAGTATGTTTGCATTTTAGAAAAAAATTCAAATACAGGCTTGAGTCAAGGATGATATTTCTCATATATTTCAACTTCTTCATAATCATATACAGATACCTCTGGGTAAATACATATTACTCTAAACTTATTCTGGATGCTGTATTTTTTGTAAGTTTATTTATATTAACTTTTAGATCTTTAGTGTTGGACACATAGTAAGTATTCATTAATATCTGTGCAGTAAAGTTGGACTCTGAGGGATGTGATTTTTGAGGTCAAACTGAAAATATAAAAAACCTTCTCAGCCAATGTAGGAAAACTGATGTTTTACAATAATATAGCCTTTAAATTAATCATAAAGATTTGAGGAATGATTCAAAGTTCTTGAAGTGTCAAGATACTCTCATTCACCCCTTCTGAATTTTCTTTGTTTGCTTAATATTGCACATTACAAAATATGAGTTACAATAAAGAAAAGATCTTATTATGAAGAATTTCAATGCAGTTTTCTTGCTCTCAGTTTTCAGCAAAGTAGTTGATTAGCTTATTGTGTTTTGCATTGTTAGTTTGTATTTATGTGAATCAATTCTTTAAATGATTCAAGTTTTCAATTCAGTATAGAAAAATAAGGGTATTCTTCTTTCCATGTAAGATTGGCATCTACTACATCTGTACTTGAATGCTTAGGGAGGATGTAGGGAGGATTCAAGTATAAAGGAATCAACCCATAGTTTAGCTGTATCACCCATGTTAATTCTGAGATATCCCTACTTCACAGTTTCCTTTTAATCAAATGAGGTGACAGGAAATGATAATTATGTCAATATTCTCTATCTGCATCATCCTCCCAGATCTTAAAAAATTGAAAGATTATAAATCAGTGAAGATAGATTTAATCCAGAAGTAGACAAATTGCCATACTCAGTTCCATAGGGTGCTGCCTTACACCACCAGCTGTCCTGCAGGTGCCTGGCACTTATCAGGTGGCAGGTGCAGAAGGATTGGGGCACAGGTATGGGATCAAATGCATTCTATTTTAAGACAATTAAAAACAGGCCACCAAGATCTTTCTAGAAAAATAATTGAAGGTGTTTGCTGTACTAATGCTGTGTCAACCACCATTGTAAAATCCATGCCAATATACCTACTATACATACATACATTTATATACATATACTTTTGTATATATTTTTATGTATGTATATATTTGTGTGTGTGTGTATATATTAAATTAATGACTGACACGTATGTACCCTCCACATACCATACTGAAGATGATGGATGATGCCTTTCGTCACTGCTTTTAGCAAGTGTCTGAACTCAAAAATTTAAACCAATTTTTTATTGTGATGAACTCCTGCATACACTTTTTGATAAATTGTTCTTAAAAACAGTTTACATGTACAAAATAAAAGGAATAATGTACATTTAATTTGAATACACATTCAATTTAACATTAATTAAAAATTTCAATACATTTGAACTCCATGTATATATTATATATATATATATGTATAATGTGTACTTACATCTTTTATAATATTGTTATATATACTTTTAAACTTTTTATAAGTGAGAACATTGTCATATATATCTTTTATGTACTTCAGCCTTAATATTATAGTGTGAGGTCTGTATAGGTAATATACTTTATCTGCTTTATTTTTGTAAAATATTTCACCGTATGCATATATCTAAATATAGCTATTCATTCTTCTTTGACCAATATTTTAAATTTCTATTTTAAGACAATTAAAAACAGGCCACCAAGATCTTTCTTTCATCTCTCTTTGAAAAATGACACACATCTCACCTTGGCACTATGTGTTCTGATATTCCCCTCAACAGTGTTAGTCATCTTTCCATTACTGTAATAAATACCTGTAAAAATCCACTTAAAAAGAAGAAAGATTTATTTTGGTTCACAGTTTTGGAGATGTCAGACTATGACTGTTAACCCTATTCCTTTGGGCCTGTGGTGGCACAGTACACTTTGGTGGGAGCATGTGGCAGAGGAGACTTCCTTACCACATGGTTGGGATGTGTAAGAGAGCAAGGAAAGGCCAGGGTCCCACAATCCCCTTCCAGCACATGCTCCCAAATGACTGGAAGACCCTCCCAACTAGGCCTCAAGCCTTTAACACGTTGGCCCTTGGGGGACATTCCAGATCCAAACTATGACACTCATGTTACTTCTTTGCATCAGTGTTGTGAGCACTTGGCATATATGTTATTGTTATTTATTTGTTTATTTTTGTCCAAAGAACATGCAAGTTCCACAGGAGGAGAGATTTTGTTTTGATCTTTCATGTGTATTTAGAATGACCGCTTCTACTCAGTAGGAGTGAAATGGATGAATTAATGAATGACCGTCTCCCCATGAATATGTGAAAAATTTTTTTCTAGGTTATTAGCTAAATAGTTTTCCCCACCCACATGCTTTGCAGCTATTTCTTTCAAAATCACTTTAGATTTTAGAAAAATGACAAAGTAATATAGCAAGTTCCTTTACATACTCTCCTCCCAGCTTCCTGTAATGTCAACGCGTCATGTAACAATGCAATTGTCAAAACCAGGAAATGAACACTGTTAAATGCTATAGCCATTTCTTGAACTATAACCTTCATTCAGATTTCACCTTTTCAAGTGTACTGTATTCTGACCCCTCTCCCACAGATTTAATAAAAAGCTTCAGATGAAAATAACTTTTATATATACTTTTCCTGAGTGAAGATCAGGGATAAAAAATATCAGAGTGATATTTAAATCCTACTCATGTTTTTTAATAGAAAAATTATAAGCCTCTAAGTTGTTAAAATGCCTTTTCTTTCTCCACTTTGTGTGGGTGGAGAGTAAAAGCAGTTGATTGTTTGAAAAAAAAAATCTTGTTACTATGAGCATCTGTCAGAAATGTGTTGTTTGGTTCACCAGATATCATTAGGTCCAACTAACTTTACCATGGTATCTTGCACAGAATTGATAAAGGCACCTGTTCTTTTGTTCATGAAGAAAAGACTAATTGCATGTAATTGAGTACAAACACAAATGGGTATGTCAGCAGTAACAGATAAAAATCTCTACAAATGTAATGATAACAAAAAAAAAATTGCAGAACTGTGTCAAAACCCTGGTACAAAAAAGACATTTGCAGTTTGGAGGGTATTAATAGGAATATTTTACATAAAATTGAAAAGCTAATTATTCTGCTCCACAAACTACCAAAGAAGAGACATTTGAAGAGGTTAAAAATGCTAGGAAGACAACAATGAAGACATTTTAACCAAATGTATTGTTCTCCTCATCTGAACAAAGATTGCTAAGAGCCCTTTGACTGTGGAAGGGGCTGCCTGATGAGTTAGTGCTGTGGTTAAACTGGGGAGAGGTTTTCAAGAAAGCCCCTGGGGCATGGAGGGAGAAGCCCTCGGTGGCTGGAAGAGTCTCAGAGTTCAGTGACTTTTTTATTTTTTAATTTATTTTTTTTGTGGATGTAGATGGATAGTACACCTTTATTTATTTATTTTTTTTGTTTATTTTTATGTGGTGCTGAAGATCAAACCCAGTACCTCCCACGTGCCAGGCAAATGCTTTACCACTGAGCCACAACTCCACCCCCAGGGTTGAGAGACTTTTAAAGTCCCCTCCAGTTATAAGGAGTTTCTTTTGAAACACATATTGAATAGGTAAGATAAGGGTACGTGACAGCCAGGTGCTGGCTTGGCAATCTCACAAAATCAGACAAGGCCACTGTGAAATGTGGATCAAGAAAAAAAGCAAAACCACTCAGGAATCACGTGGTCAGAACTACAAAATGACCAAGTCTTTCTCTATCATGGGCTATGTGAGTGGCCACTGGTGCTTTACCAAACCTGGCTTTCCCCTTGCTGCTTTTCTTGCCTTCTAGATAAGATTATCAAAATACCCAACCATAGAATCACACCTACGTTTTCAGAACACCAGTCTGGAGCAAAGGCACAGTTCTCTGAGCTCTCCCTCAATCACCAAACACACCCAAAGCCTCTGAGTCTTTTCTTTCATCCTCTTGCTGAGATGCTCCTGCTTTTGCCATGATGTATGATACAGAGTAGATAATCTTGTTACAGAGTAGATAAACCCAATTTGGTCAATCACAGTTTTG